ATCTTCTAACTTAGTAATCAGTTCATTATTGGACAAAAATTTCCTTCATGGCCTTTTTTCCAATATATCTCCCAGCTTTTGTAAGCATTGAGTGGGACATACCTTAAATACTTACAAATGCAGACAGATCCGAACTCTGCATTTGCCATCATGACCTACTCGCGCAGAGCTCCAAGTAAGTCAGGTGTACCTGCACGGCACCTCTTGAGTTTTTCCTAACTGTGCACATAATTCTTGGCATACACATGGCTCTAGATTCCAAGGAATATCTCAAAGCTTTCCAAACCTCCTTATAGAGAACTCATTTCTATACTTTTCCTTTTAATATTTTTCATCCATTGTTACTTACTCCCGCTGTTATTGTTGCCTCATGTTGCCTCACTGAATTATGATATGAAACAATTGTCACTGATTTCCCTCGCCACCTCCCCTTCAGTGTTTTCAAGAAAAAGCCTGTTACCACTGGACTAGGTCAAACAATTTGTCAAAATTGAAAGTGCAATTTTCCAGAAAACCATCAAGCAGGACAAATTACGACATTTATAGTTGAACAGGGCTTTGAATTTAACCAATCTCCACTCTATATTCATTGGCTATTACTAAGTTGCTATTTTTACCATGATTTTTGGACTGTTGAACATTTTCAGCTTTGAGTTTGGAAGAGAAAGAGGGGAGCAGAGGAAGTTAAAACCCCTGCGTTTCTTGAGACTCAGTCATTTTCTTGAATAAATATAGTCGCTCAATGGGAAAAGGTTGAGTAATCTCCTCCTGAGTGAATCACAGCCTCAAAACTAACTGGAGTGTCAGCTATGAATTGGTTCTGATTCAGTAACAATGACTTTGACATGTTCTCTAGATTGTTGTAAGCCTTCAATTAAGTTCTAGAATTCTGAAATAGATGTAGTAGTTTATTCTAAGGATCTCATAACATTTTTAGGAAGAAGAGTTTTTTGAAGTCCTGGCAAAGGAATGAGCCCTGGTGGTACAATGAATATGGTGCTGGGTTAACCGAGCAATTGTTGTTGTT